ACTAACCTGGGCTCTGCCATGACTGATCTTATTTTGTCTTCATATTGCTGGGGTGAGGAGGAATAGAGCCTTAAGCTGTTTTTAAAAAAATCAGAAAAAAACCCCTCACAACTTAAAGAAACCAGCTTGTTTCTACCATTCCTTGGTAGTTTGCTTTGCTTCCAGGCTAGAAGGCTCCTGTCTTTAGGAGGTATCACAGTAGCAATTCTCATGGCTAGTTTACCAGCATGGAAAGAAAAGAGTGAAATGTGGAAATCCCAAGCAAATAGCTTGTTTTAAAAGTAATTTTTTAAAGTTTTGTTTTCTGAAGAACGGGGGAATGGATTGAGATGAATCAAAGGATTTTTTTGTAGTCCTTGAACAAAATGCCTTTTATTTTTGGACTCATCAGTTTGATACATTTCCCAGGCACAGGGACTTTGTTTAAACATCTCATTCTGTCAGCAAGGAGTCCAGAGCCTGGTGCTAACGCAGCTTTCCTGTGCTAGGGATGAATTGGGCTGCTGGATTTGCTCTGGCTCTGTTCTTTGTGGGCTGGTACCGGATTACTGCCAGTATGATTTCAGTCTCTCTAGATGCTTAAGTAGGAGAAACTAGGAATATCCATGAGTTTCCTGCTCAGCACTGGAGGCCTGCCGGTGTGTCTGTAGGCACTGCATTGGCCAGGGTGGTTTGTGGTTAAGGTGTCGAAGCCGACAGCTCTGGCTCTAGGCTGGTCTTTCCAGGAAACCTGCACTGTTGTGTTTGTGATTCTGCTTCACTGGTGCGGGGTTGTTTCTGTCGGTGCCACCCAGCACTGGGAGTGAATGCTGGCACTATCTGGCCCAGGCCGTTCAGTACAGAAAACACAGTAAAACTCCGACTATCTGCACAGCTAACTACCTGGCTTGCCCAACGAGGGCCTGGGAGGGAAACAGCTGCTACTTGCTACTGCTGGAAGGCCAGGGCGTGGTGGGGAGGTGGTATGGAACTTCCATGCTTGGTCTGGCTTGGGGTACACAGTCACTTGCGGACTAACCTTCATAGCGCATAACAAGGACAGGGCACCCTGGCCTCTGAAGTGCTGAGGATCAGCTACCTGTTTTTTGGAAGGTGCTTGGGTGGAGAGGGTGAAAAAGGGCCCACAAAGGAAAGGAGAGGGCTGTTCCCTGCTGCGTTTGACTGGTGCTGGTGATCTCTGCAAGCTGCTGAGAAATAAGGTTCAAGATGACTATCACATCTCTTTCTGTCACTCGTTGAGTAGGTATCTTCTGCCCATGTAAGTGGTTAGAAAAACATCGGTGATGTGCTGGTGTATCTGCTGCTTTTCTGTTGCCCCTTGATGGGTTATCTTGATCCTTTATGGGTTATTAAGGATTAGCTGTGGGTTTTGCTCCCTAGGAAGTGGAAACTGTTGGGGACTGGGGTTTGAGGGCGGAGAGGATTTGGGATAATGAAGACTGGACAATTTGTGAGCACTAACTTGTAATCCCAAGGCTGGGAGAGTAGTGGTGACAGAGTTCCCTTCGCAGCATGGACTCAGCACGGCTGCATATGCTGCAGGGATGTGGAGCTAGCCTGGCATGGTGGTAGCTGGTCCAGAGACACCTTAAGCTGCTGAAAAACAGGGGAAATATTAATCGTGTTCTGCATCTTTACCAATTTAAGTGTGCTCATGGTAGAACACTTAGGTCTTTTGGTTTGTGTGCCCAGTGTACAGCACAATATGATTTTCCCCTGGTGTCAGGTTGTAAGTCCTTCACTGTAGCAACTAACGCGTTGTTTCTGTGAACTGCTGAAGGACTGCTGCTGCACGCAGGGGCTGGACCTCCCAGTTGAAAGCTGCTTTGGCTGACCTGTTCTTGGGGCAGGAGAACTGAGCTGATTAACAAACCAGCAAAGCAAGGTTTGCTTTTCCGCAGTAACTTGCAAGTGTCTGTGCTCCTTTCCTGCTTACAGAGAAAAGCTAATCCTTTTTACTCACTTTTTTTTCTTTTCTTGCTTTTTTATTGCCTAGTCTGGAAAGGGGAGTGGAAAACAGGTGTGGCTCTGCTGAGATGCCTTGGTACCACTGCAGTGAGGTGTAAAGGCATGGAGAAACACTGAGAGCAAGGCGTCTATCTGGGTGGTGTTCAGTGCTGCACAGAAAGCTCTGAAAGTGGGAATCCAGACTCTCTGGTTTCTCCTGTCCCTTTGCTGAATTTTTTCACTTGGAGACATCACCAGGCTGCCATTAAAAATTGCTGCCATCTTGCAGCACTGCAGAATGAGGTCTGGTCTGGGAGACAGAAGACACACTTTAGTGTGGCCAGGCTCACTGTGGATGTAGAGGGTGCTTGTTCAGAGGTGGGTGGTTCTGAGGAGATCTGCCGTGACCTGTTTCAAGCACCTGAGAGGGCTGGTCCCAGTGAGCAGAAGATCCCTGGATGGGCTTCTGCCTCCTGCCATCTCTCCTCAGCACAGTGCTCCTCTCTCCCTGAGCTCACTTAGTCCTTTACATATTAAAGGTGTGTTGACAGAGAAAGTGGTGGAGGGGAAATAACACAAACAGGCTTCGGCTAGGTAGCAGGAGATATTCACCAGATGTGCTGCTGGGCTATGTGACCCCTGTACAGCTGCCTGTCCTGGTTTCCTCTCCTGAAGTGCCACGTGCACAAAGCACCAGTCCAGGGGCTACCCTGCAAAACAAAAAAAAAAACAGTATCATGTGGAAGTGGGGAGAGAGGGGTCCAAGCTGCTAGTGTGCTGCCTAAGGCTCACTGAGGTAGCTCATCTCCTTTGAGTTACTCCCTGCTCCTGGCTGAGGAGCTGGCAGAGGACTCCGCAGGTTGGGCAGTCTGGCCCCTTACACGTCACAGGTAGTCCAAGGGTTCTTGTTTGGGAGAGCAGCTGACTCCTCTTCATACCTTTGTTGTGTCTTACAACTCTGGGCCTCACACTTAACTTGTAGGATGAAGAAGTTTTTGTGGAAGACTCGAGAAGGGTTGTGTGCATGTCCATCTGTCCTGCTGGCTCTGCAAAATGGCAGATGTGTGTGCTTGGAGGGGCAGGGGAGTGCCAGAGCTCAGAGGTGCCCATCCATGTGTCTCTCCATGGTGGAGCTGAGGACCCATCTGCCCCAGCCAAACCGCGCAGCTCTTGGTCCCAGTACTCAGACTGCAGGTGCTTCAACCTCTCGACCTGCACACAGGTGCAGAGTTGCTGCTGGGTTAGTTTGCAAGTAACCTTCCAAGGGTTAATGTATTGTGAGAAGGTTGCAAAGGGCTGAAGCCTGGAATCCCCTCGATCCCTTGCCTGGAGAAACACAAAGTCCAATAAGCCAGCACCCCTGGATTCGTGTTGGGGGGGATTAATTCATGCACTTGATGTTAAAGCTTGTCCGACAGGTTTGCACGGGGGGGCCATCGCTAGGGCTGGTTGGCCTCTCTAAATGGTTGCTAGGGCCCTGGCATCAAGGGCCAATGTAGCTGCCCACAGCCACGGTCACGGAGGGAATTACACAGCCACAAAGAAATTGTTATTCTACATAATCTGCTCTTTGGAGAGTGACTGTGGGGAAACAGGCTGGCCCCAGCATGCCGCCAGCTCTGTGATCATAGAAGCGTGCTGGCTGCAAAGATCGGCCAGGGCTCGCCTTCTGATCTGGGGACACCAGGGCTCGAGGCGCTAATCTGCTTTATCAGCGATTTCTCTCTCCTGACACAAAGGTGTTTACTTGTTTTAACATCTCCCAGGACTCTATTTCTCCTTTTGTGTGGTCTTTATTCCCCGACGAGGGCTTTAGCCCAGATTACAGACAGAATTAAGGCATTTGGCGATGTGCCTCAGAACTGTGTGATGCTGGATCAAGGAGCAGAAAGTAACAAAATAATGGGGGGAGATGCTGAGAGTGACCCCACTGCGGGATCCGTGCTGTCGGCTTTCAGGACCACTTCATTGTCCTGAGAACCAAGAGCCTGTTGGAGAGGGGTGGCTGTGCCGCAGGGTTTGAAAAGCAGGTGCTTCAAGGTTTATTGTACCCAGCATTTTTGATGTAGAGGGTGTGAGGAGGAGGAAAAGGAGGGTTTGCAATAGGTGGGCATTTCAAGCAGCCTGGCAGATTGTCCCCTCCCTTCCCAAGAGTCTGCCACACCTGAGTGTTGCTGGGGCAGGTGGTGTAATACTGGGGACAGGCTGTGCCGTGTGCCTGATGCAATTTCATATGGCCCAGGGAAGGGGCTCAAGCCACATCTTACAGTCTGGCGGGGTGGGCCCTCACCAGGCACCATCCACCTGGTGAGCTGCTGGTTCTATGCGTGAACAAGCAGCAGAGTGATACGGCCACAAAGCATCTGGCTTAGAGCTCCATGGAGATCTTGCTTTTGCTCATTCACAGCAAGCAAGGAAATAAAAAGGAGAAGGCGGTCAACAAAAAAAAAGGTAGCCTTTGGAAAGTCATCTCCAGGGCAGCCCTGGGGTGGCTGCTCTTGACCTGTCATGCTCAGCCCCAGATACAGTGTTTGCAGTGTAACTGGAGGGAGTTGAGGGGAGCAGCCATGGCAGACTGGGTCAGGAGAGTCTGATTTGCCTGTGGGTCTGAGCTGTGTGTCAAAGATATGGGGAAATGCTCCAGTGGGCAATATTTTGAAGGATGGGATTGACCAGGTAAGTGGCTGTTGCAGATTGCCTGGAGTTTGACTAAGTTGAGAATTGTCTCCCATGGAAATGGAGCCCCATCATTCAGAGCACTGGTCACTGCTCCCAAGGAAAATGCTCCCGTTCTGCTAAGGGTCAGCTGTGCCTGTGCCTTGGCTCTTCCTCTTATCGCTGTGACTCCTGCTGGTCACCCTCCATGACAATTAGTGGCCCAACCAGTAGCAGAAGCTGGGGGAGGGAGAGGAAGACCGTGCAGGCTTTTGCATTCTGCTCAGTCACAGAAATGAGATCTAGGAAACTTCTGTGACACCATCTCTGCTCTGGTGTGCTGAATTCAAAGGACACTCTGCTCCAGATGACTCTTCCCCAATTGCGTTTCATTGCAGCGGTCAGCTGTTGACCTGTTTAGGGACTGACTTCCACCATGGAGCTGGAGTCCTTGATGTCTTCTACGAAACGCCCTCCCTTCTTCTTTCGTGTGGGTATGACACCTACATCCGCTACTGGGACATACGGACCAGCACCAGGTGAGCCTACCCTGCTGGCATCTGGGGCCTGCCTGAGGCTCCTGGGCTCTCCCTGTGCAGAGTCTGGCGACTCGCCTGCAGCTGAATTAGCTCCTTTGGGCAAGCTGGGCCTCAGCTCCAGTGGTGGAAGAGTGGAGGCTCAGCCCCGCTCCGGTTTGTGTTGCCCTTGCAGGAAATGCATCCAGGAGTGGGAAGAGCCCCATGACAGCGCCCTGTACTGCGTAAGGAGTGATAAGAACCATATGATTGCCAGCGGCTCTTCTTACTACGGCGTGGTGCGCCTCTGGGATAAGCGGCAGACTCGATGCCTGCAGGTGAGGGCTGGCTGGAGGTTCTCTGGCAGCCCAGTGCCCATGTCTCTTTGGAAGAAGAGAGAGCAGCTTCTGAGCTGTCTTTGAGGCGAGCCCACCATGGAGAACCTAACCTGTATGCAGGGAAAAGCCTGCTTTGCTCAGGTGTCTTGGCCTTTGAGTCTGTAACACCGGCTGGGGGCTTTGGGCTGATCTCTTCTTTGAAAGGTTGATTCTCCTTTTTTCTTGCAGAGCTTTCACCTGTCTTCACCCACCAGCAGCCCAGTGTACTGCCTCCGTTTCAGTACCACCCATCTGTACGCTGCCCTGGCATCAGCCCTGCATGTCCTCGACTTCACGGCCCCATGAAGGGCACTGCAGCTGCTTCTGGTCCCCCCAACTCAGCAGAGTTGACACTTGGCTCAGGGAATCGCAGGGCAGGAGAGGTGAGAATGGCCCCGAGGCTTCTGAAGGATTTTTTTGCCTGCCAGAAACCTGCAATGAAGAGTGCACAAAGGGCCAGACTTTCTCAACCTCACCTGCCTGTTAGTGGAAATAAGGCCGATTGTCCTTTACCCTTTTTATTTTGTGCAAATCAGGGTTTGTTTTAACAACTGTGGGTTTTTTCTTTTTTTTTTTTTTTTATTTTTCTTTTCCTGTGGATCCAGCATTTGAGGGGCAAGTTGAGCCGGGATGCCCTGTCAGCTGTGTGTGCTGGTCAGGCTGAGATCAGCCATGCTCTGAGCCATGTGAAGCAAGTCTAGGCTGTGTGTGGGGTGGACTGATTTGGTGGAAGGGAAATGTGCCTGGAGTGGGGCCCATCTTTCACCTGTGCTTGCTCTCCTGACAGCTGCTTGTGTTGTCCTTCACAGCCAAGAGCAAGAATTGAGCTAAAAGGCAGAGCCGGCCCTGCTTTCAGTGTGTGCCTCCCCAAGCTGGCCGTCAGGTCAGGCTGTGCACTTGGCAGGGCTGAAACAGTTGCGTTTTGCTAAATAAAACTCTGAAGGGAAACAAAAGAGACTGTTTGTTTTGTTTCAAGTTCCAAAGGGGCTGCGATGTTACCCGCTGATGGCAGAGGCCTAGCTGGGCGGAGGAGGTTGCGCCTATTTTCAGATGCTGTCTAGGTGTCTAATAGATGGATGTCTTTCCTTGGCTAGACCCTGTGACACTGCTGCATTGAAGGCAGTTCCTGGCATCTTGGATCTCATGTCATTTTTTCAAATAAGAATTCAAAAAGTAGGATCGGCAACTTGCTTGCTGCTGGCATAATGAAGCAGCAAACCGGACTAGTGCAAACACCAAGGCCTTGATGTGATTTACTGGGTTTGTGTAGGCACATGGAGGTGGGCTCTGCTCCTGTTTGTGTCAGCCTCTGAACCCGAGCTGGGTCTCGGAACAACCATAGCTTTCAGCGTGCTCTGTGCTCTCTGGGTGAATGCAGATGTCTGTGGATGAACGTGCTGTGGGTGAATGGAGTGGTGTCTGGGGTCTGGCCTTCCTTGGGGAAGGAGGTGCGCGAATCCTGCTTGGCTGCGAGTTTGAGTATCCTGGACAGGTAAAGCAGAGGTTTTGTATCTCAAACTGGGAGCACCTCTAGAGCAAAGCACCTGGCATGGTGCTTTGTTGGAACTTAATAGGTAATTTCCAGTGTCAGGAGGCTGTTCTCTGCTTGTGATCTGCAAAAATTGGAAGAGGGTGTTTGCTGGAGCCCCTGCCTGAGCAGGGAGGGAGTGGAACCAACCAACTCCTCGCCTGCGTGAAGGGAGCCCTCCATTCCCAGTGGATGGAAGACAACAGCTCAGGGTGCAAGTAAAAGCACGGCTTTACTGCAGGATCACATTCTCACAAGCATCTTTCCAGCACAGCTCCCTGTCACAGTTCCTGATCTGTGCCAGTTCCTCTGCTGCCACTCATGCCTGCTTGCTGCCGGCTCCCGTGTAGCTACTGTGGTGCCACATATTCTCCATAAGTGCCAGAGTTGATGTCTAAGTGCCCCAAGCAACGATCTGCTACAAAAAGATGCCATGGCTGGAACAATGTTCCACCAGCTCAGAGCTGTAGATCCCAGAGACTGCTAGCCCAAGAGAATGATCTGGGGGACCTCTGGGTTACTGGTAACGCTGAGCTGTTGCCGAAAAGATGGTGCTTTGCATCAGGCATTGCTAAATACTGCTGCTGTGCTGCTTGGAGCACGTTGGGCTCTGCCTGTGAGGAGAGCTTTATGTAAGTGATTAGGCATGAGATAGAAGACTGGAGAGACATCTGGCAGAGCTTGAGAGCCTGTTTTTCTTGGGTGCTGGTGTGTTACAGGTCCTTTAATGAAATTGAGAGGGAGGGAAGGATGGAGATACTCGATGTCTCTGGCAGTGTCCCCAGGGAGAGGCTGTGAAGGAACCGGAGTAACTGTGGGGTCGAAGGAGAGGTTCTTCATTACACTGGGACTTGGGCAAGGCCCAGAATAGGAATGAGCACATCAGCTGGGCGGGTGAACAAGTGTCACCAGTGCAAGAGGTTCCTCCCATGACAGAGCTGCCTGCAGCGCTGTTGCTGCCAGTCCTGCCAGTTCTTTTCTGCAGCCCACGTTGGTGGGTCCTGCACTTGTGTACCTGCTTTTAGGTTCTTCCTGGCTGAAGCCTGGAGCAGAGCTGCAGCCCCATGGTGGTTCCAGCGCTGGTGGGTAGAAGGATGCACCCTCACATCTTGGATGATGTTGGGGAGTGGCAAAGCTGCAAGTGGGGCTGGCGCACTGGCTCTGATGAGCTCTGCCAGTCGCTGGTGTCTCCGTTGTCTCCCAGCAGCAAGGCTCTAACTGGGAATGCCACTCAGGCTCCAAGGAGTTTTCCTGGTTTGAAAGCAGCCCTCATCAGGGGAGCTACGCTGGGGGCCCGTGACCAGCTCACTTAAAAGTAGGGTTTGTTTGGGTAGGGGCTGTTCAGAGATGAACTGGGATGGAGGGACACGCAGAAATTGTAAGCAGAGGGATGGCTGGTGTGGGGTAGAGACAGCAGCTGGCTGGAGGGCGAGTTGCTGAGGCAGCACAGCTGGGGCTGTCCCTGTGCATGGGGCGCTGTCTGTGCAGCGGGGTTTGTGACGGGCAGTGTTTATGCCCTCGGGAAGGGATCTCCCACTGCTACTCCTGAGCTGGCCAGCGGCCCCTGTCACTGCGTGCCCCTCCGTGCCATGCAAATGAAGGCAGCTGCGTTTCCGTTCCGGCGCTCTGCACGGCCGCCTGCGTTCTGCACGTCATGCTGCGCGTGGCTGGCAGTAAGGAAGCAGTTGGGTGTCCCCCTCTTCACCCTGTTTCACAGGCTGTGCCCATTCAACTCTAAGTGTTGATGCTGTTTGCAGAGATACCGGAGTCGCCAGAGCATCCTTCTACCTGCACGGAGGACCTTGCACGACAGCACAGGGGGGAGTTGCTTCCAAGCCCATCCCAGGCAGGTAAGGGGTGCCAGGAGGGAGTTCTTGTTTTCCACATGTTACTGCCTTCAGCAATGGTGGCAGACAGAGGGAATGCCCAAGGGGAACTACCCAGCTTTCATGTCGATTCTGCCCGTGGAGGATGGGGAGAGGCTGCTGGCTGTAGAGGCAGCGCACCTCCTTGGTGTGCTGCAGCTTCTCACAACTCATAGATGGATCATAAATGTCTGCATAAATCGACCACCCTGCCATCTCCCTGGGCCTACAAAGATTCCTCCAAGCGGCATTATTAACAACAGGACTAATTTTTATTAGGAAAGGCAAAATAAATACCATGAAGCTGTGCCAGAGAGCTGCTCCCTTCCTCAGCCTCTAATCAGCCACTGCCTACTGGGTCTTACAGTCACCATCCCCATTGTTGGCTGCCTTGATCTTCTTCAGCTCCTTCTGCAGCTGCTCTTCTGCAGCCAAGATCTCCTTCGGCTTCTGGTACTGTAGGACAGAGAGAAATGCCCTTAGCACTCCTGTTCAGCCTCTGCTCCGAGCAGACCAACTGCAACCAGGCGCTGCCAGTGCAGCTGGGGCCCTCCTGCCAAGGGAGGCCTTTCTGTTATCAGCTGCCTCCGAAGCCTGTTTGGAGAGGTGGTGCCATCACGCTAGGGACATTTGCCGAGGATCTGGAGTGTTTTTGACAGTGCAAGTAAAACTTTCCAGTTGGATGTGGAGTCCTGGCCCCTGTCAACCCCTCTGGAATATCCTGGTAAGCTGTGTCGTGCAGATCCCTGGTGTGCTCGCTGACTGTATGCTCACAGGTGTGTCATATATATATATATTTGAAAAAATGCATTTTTTTAAAAGATAGACAGAGAAGGAAGAATTGCAATTCCTCTGTTCTCCCCTCGGAGCCCCCTCGTCCAGCTGCAGTTCAGTGGTGGATGCAGGTGCTTTTGGGCAAGGGCTTGGCCTGTAGCAAACAGAGGCTCAGAAGGACTCAAGGTGCGCCTCTTGGCCTGTTTCCTCTGCATGTGGACACCCAGCTCTGCTGTGAGGTCTCCCTTGGAGAGGATGCTCTCTGGGTAGCTGACTGCTACATTTAAGAAGATGAGAACCTGCGGCTCAAAAGCATCTGTCTGCCTCTGTCTGCTCCTTGCAACAAGAAGTGCCCATTTTGCTAGTCTCTCACTTCTTCCACCGTGTTGCATGGAAGCGTGTTCTTTCCATGTGTCCTCTCCAACACAAAGCAGTGATATTTTGTTTTTATTGCTATTATTTTTTAGACTGTGAGACGTAGTGCAGCAGGTCCTTTGACTCTTAACACATGCTCTGAGGCAAGAAAAACTTGCTGTCACTGAGCGTGGAGGCTTGCTCAGGCCTGCGGGATGGGACACATGAAAAACAGGGCATAATGGACACTCTTCCACCTGCAAGTCACCTTGAGCAGCAAGCAGGGCCCCTCCTGCGACCTGGGCAGTCCTGGCTAGTGTCAGCGTGCCAGTGTAATCTGAAACTCCCACTGACTGTGTGACAGGGAAGGGGGCTCACCAGTGACCCTCAGCAGATCTCCCTGCTCTGCCTCATTTCCCCACGTGTAAGAATTTTAACTTCTTTGTGGTCGTAAAGGGAAGGGCAAAGTGCTGTTCTGCATGGCGAGAACCTCACCGTGATGATCAGGGTGTTGTTGGCGTGGGTGAAGCTCAGGGCAGCTGCATCCAAGGGGAGCTGGTATCGATCCAGGTCAGGAATAGAGAATTTTTTGTAGTACCTGCAAATTAGAGAGGAGACAGAAATCAGGAATGTGGGGTTCCTATCCCCCCACTAGCAGTGCTGAGCTACAGAGTGCTGTCCTACAAGGTGCAGATGAGGACAACAGACCTCTCAGGGTTGGCAGGAGGATGCTGTGCCATGTTGTGTGCCTGTTGGTGCGCCCAGGCTGGCAGGAGCACTGGAACCAAACCTCCAAACTGGAAATCAGAGCTGGCAAAGTCCTGAAGGGCTCTGGGGTGTGAGAGCAGGCTTGGTCCCTCCAGCTTGCCCTTAGGTAGTGCCAGACATGGTTAGGGACAGAGTACTCAGCCCTACCAAGAGGTGTCCCTTGTCTTTGTCCCTGCTCATGGCCTCTCATTCCCTCCAAGTACCAGCTCCCATCAGCTCTTGTCAAGACAGCTGTCAAAGCCCTCGTTCCCCGTGACTGACCTTCCTGAGTGATGCACCATTTTGCATTGCAGCCTTCCTAAAACCATCTTTTTGGCCTCTTGCTGTGCTTCCTAGATCACCTCCTGCTTTGGTAGCACAGTGCTGCTCGGGCACACGCCTGGGCACAGAGCTCCAGGTGTAGCTGCCCACAGCCACCTGAGCCTTGGCTCTGCAGCGTCTCCATGCAGGCCCCATGGTGGCTGTGGTGCTCCTCTGTGCTCCTGGCTCCCTTGGCTGCTCTTTCAAAAGTCTCTATCCCAGTTTCTGCAGTCACATCTCACATCCAAGCACACAGAGAGATTTTTGCCAGCTCCCTATGCAGCCTGTGTCTCTCCACCAACCAGACCTTGGGCTTTGCTCAGTATGAAGGAAGGGAGATATGTTTTGGGTAGAATTGGAGTGGTTAGAAGCTGTCTAAGCAGCTGAGAGACTTCCTAAGGCTCCAGACCAGAACCTTCTAGTCCTGTCTGTGTTTGCCCGAGACCTTTCTTCCTTGGCATGGCTTGCCCTGCATCTGTTGCTTCTCTCTGGGGCTGCACCAGATACACTAGTTGGTGGTCCTATGCCCACACAGAAGCATGACTGGGTTCTTAGTCTCTTCCAGCACTCTTGTGGGCAATCCTCCCCAAGTAATTGGCCTGCAGCTGGTACTGAGGTGCCCAAAGCAGAGCAGGAACAGGCAGCAGCTACTGTCATGCCATGAGGGGTTCTTCTCCATTCAGCTGGCTGTGTGTGAGGCTTGGCCTCTCTAGCTACCTCTGCCCAAATTGCAGTTTATTTTCCAAGTCACGGTGAAAACAGCTACAAAGGGCAAATGGCTCTCCTGGTGCAGTGGGAGGAATGTATGCAACTTGTTACCGCAGGGCTCAAACCGTTCTGTGTTGTCACTGCTGTCGGTATTTGGAAAAGGTGGCAGACATGGATAATAAGGGAGATGTCAAAGGTTAAACAGCAGAGATTAGATGAACACAAAGACATGTTAAGGAAGTGTTAACTTCTTACCGATTAGACAAAAAAAAAAGCAGTACACAGAAGAAACCCACTGTTTCAAAGGGCCTTGGGAGTCGTCAATGAAACTGCAGCATTCTGCTGCCCCAGGACTAAGGAGAAGGAGAGAAGAATGACTTTGGCTGGCCTCAAACTAAAATCTGTGACAAGATCAAAGGAAACCAGATCTGCCTCGCCACCCCCTCCTCCTCCTAACATTACCACTGCCTCTCGCTACAATAATTGAATCAGGTTTGGCGTTTGGAGGTGGCTTTCTGGGTTTGTTTTTAGAGTTTAGTTTAATGGATTTATTTTACAGCAAGAGGTTTTAAGCAAATCCCACTTGAGCAGCCCTTGCCGTGGCCAGAGGGAACTGGGGTGACTGGTGGAAGTGAAGATCTCCTGTCTGGGCTAGAGAGGCAGCTGGTGGGCGGTCATCCCTGCTGAGGCAGGCACATTCTCTGCCCTCGCCTCTCACCCCATGGCCAAGGGCAGTATTGCACTCTGAGCCAGGGTCCCGGCCTGAGATCCACAGCGTGTAAGTGAAGTCACCTCTTATTTTCCTGCTGGAAACTCACTTTTTGTCAGCCTGCAGGGAAAACTGCTACTGGTATGCTAAGAATTTAGAGCTGAGCTACTCAGTAGCGACTTGGCAACCCATCCCGTTGCTTGTGCCTCTGGCTGGCGGTCAGCACAGCTCTGCTGCTCAGAAGCAGTGTGGCTGACTTCCAAGGGCTGGAGAAGCTCCGAGGCTTCCTTTCTCTCCCGTAGCGATGTGCTCTCTCTGTGGACTCCACGCCTTTGTTGCTATCTTGGAATTAGTTGCTGAGTGGTGCCTTGCCCTGGCCGGGACCCAGGAGAAATGATATAAGATATCCTGGAGCCGGTACTAAGTGTTCTGGTGCTGGAGTTTGTCCCTGCTCCCTACTGACAGCAAAGTCGTTCTTGTCCCCAGTGAGGCAACTTTCAGCTTTAATTCCAAAAGCCCTTAACTATCATATGCAGACTGTGAGCCGCTGTCAGGTGCTTCAACTCTCTCTGACAGTAGCCTACGACTGTGTAGGGGGACTCTACTGTTTTCCTGCGAGTGGTACAAAAAAGCTTAAAGTCAGGTAGGGCATGGGTGACGCCTCAATGGTACATTACAACCTTACAGCACCTACGCAGGCAAGGAAGCTCCCACATACATGCTACCGTAGCATTGGGAGTAGATAAGCCTGTCTGTGACAGTATGTGGTTGGACTTAGGCTCACATACTCCCTTCCTGTCCTAGCTCCATGTGTATCCATGCGTGGCTGATGGGAATCTCATTCATCTTTGCTATATGTCCCTACAAAAGTGCCACTCTTCTCCTGTGAATGCCTCTGCGTGCATTTAGGCCAGCATCTTCCTGAATTAGAGCTGTAACTGCGTCCTGTTTCCATGGGGTAGACTCCCCCTTTTTCCTGTCTAGCCTCCTCCTGCTTTTGAGCGTCCAGGTGTGCTCATATGCAGAGCTCAAGCACCCCCTCGCCACGGCCTCTGATGTGGTAAACCCTTGCCTGAAGACTGGCGGGCTCTACCATCTGAAAGCAGAAACGGCGCCATCTGGAGCAGTTCTTTGCCAACAGCACCACCTACAGCCAGCCGCAAAGAGCGGCTCAGAGAGGGCACACTGGGAAACGCCAGGCTGGTTCTCACCCGTGAATCTGAGTCTTCTCTGTCTGCAGCAATGCTGTGGAGGCAAGGCAAGCCGAGGGCAGTCCGCCCAGCTTTCCATACTGCTGTATTATCCCAGTTTGTAAATAGCTTTCACTTATCTTCCAATATCCTCCCTTGTTCTCCTAATACTCGCTCCTTGCTATCTCTTCACAATACTACTGCTCATCCTGGCTTATCTCACTGAGGCTGTAAAACGCTCTGGGGCACAGTGTGTCTCATTCCATGAGAGATGCCATGTACTGACACAGTATAAGATGAGGCTTAAAAGCCTTTTCTTTCTTTTCCTCCCATCTCAAATTTTTTACAGCAGAATATTGTGGTGCTTCCTTTCCAGAGTCAGTCTGCCTTTTTTTCTTGCTACCTCCAGATCACGTCACTGGCATTGTGACCACAGGACACGCTTACGCAGGGAGATCTGTCTGTTTGGGTGCCCAGCACTTTGCTGTACCTGTTGAATCCTGCAGGCCCACGCATTCTGAGATACAATGACTAGACCAAAGTATCACGTCAGAGCGAGAAGGTGGGATGCTCTAGCTTCAAAAGGTCTGCAAGAGTTTTACTTTAGGGAGCAGAATTTGACAGGGAAAGAACAGAGCAAACACCATGCTAGTGGAATTGTAAGATAAGTTTGCAAAGGCTAGTGCAGAGCTTGAGAGGCTTTACCATAAATGTGTCTGGGGCAATTGGGAGCGGAAGCACAGCTGGAGACACACAGCTGCGAGGTGGGGCCCCTCAGCCCTTGCACGCTCAGGATAGAAGGCAAGAGAGGACAATCCCCCTGTGCAATCACTAGCCTGCCCTCCGTGCCAGCCCACCCCGAGGGACTGCCAGCACTAGCAGTGCTGTCCTTACTGACTTCTTGTTGGTGGTCCGGATGACACAGCAGCGCTGCTCCTTCTCCACGGAGACGCTGTAGACCTCCTTGGGGTAGGGCAGGTTACGGATCCGCCACTGGAAGCTGGTCAGGGTATCCTTCCTCATGAAGACAGGCTACAGCAAACAAGTACCTTTAGCAAGGCCTCTCCAGATGTCTCCTCTCCTCCCTGCCCCCTTCTTCCTGTGCTACCTCTAGAGGCTCCACCTGGGAGTAGCTGCTCTTTCACAGTGGAACATTAGGAAGTAACTCAAGAAACTGCCTGAGCATCACTTTCCTAATGCTAGCACTGCTCTGCCTTTACCTGGGGCACTGCCTGCCCTGCTTGTAGAGGCTGAAAGTGTTCATCAAGGGAGTCTTGCAGTACAGGGTTACATGGAAACCGGGCCTCTTCCTCACAGGCAACCAAATACTGAGCTCTGCCTACCCTAGAGACCTGCTGGATTCAGCCCTGGCTCTGCTGTGCAGGGCTGTGGTTGTGTTTCAGGTCTGTAGAAAAGATGATGCAAGACTAAAACCGCTGCCCCCTAAGTTAGCGGGACATGAAGATGAAACAGGCCCTGCTGTGTTCAGGAGAGGCTGCTGTGCACTGCCTGTGTCGGCCTTTCACTGTCATCGCTTCTGCTTTCCATCTGCTGACTTGTCCTGGCACTGGCCTTCCTTTCAGGCTACTTTTTCAGAAGCCACAATAGCAGTTGGCCAACACAACAGTATGGTTTCTCTACTTAAGGAAACTACAGATCTGTTAAAGACTCCAAAATAACCTAAGCTGTGCCTTCTTTCTACCCAGCCCTGCACCTTTGGGATGATTTGTAGCAGAGTGCTGGGCACGTGAGGCTGACTCTTGGGGCTATGAGTGATCTGTGGTCTACTAACTACTTCTGCAAGCACAAGACTAAGTAGTTTTAGGTGCAGTGGTGCTTGCAGACCCTTACGTACATTGGAGCTGCTTTCCTTTATGAGCTCGGATTCCAGCACTCCCAGGAGCGGCGAGGTTGGCTCTCCCACTTCAACCTGCCACTTGCCGGAGCCCCCAAGGGTGTTCTTCTCTCGCCATTTTCTACCTGTGGAAGGGAGCAGAAGGGTTTTCATTATTCTGCTCTATAAGAACTCCAGCAAATGACTGCTAAAGCTGCCCAGCACACTAAGATGATATGAACATACAAATATTAATTCCGGTCCTTTCCACTTTGGTGTGAGTGGATCTGTTAGCTGGCCTATATCTGAATTCGGAAATTCTGTACCAAGTGCCTCTCTTTTTTTGCTACTTGGTGCTGAAGCCATGGTGGGGTTGCAACAGGTGCTATGCTGCAGCTGATGTGGTTTTGGACAAGAGCCATAACCAACACCCTGTTGTTTGCAGTTGCAGAAGCCACCAAAAAGCATATTTCACCCCAGCATGTGCTACAGACTTGGTGTCTGGCTCCACAAGACAGCAATCCCATTTAGTCCGTCGGAGCCTGTTGTGGCAGATGAGCTGTTTGGGAGAGATCCTGGGACAAAGGAAGGTCTGCTACACCACGGAAGTCAGAGAACCCTGGGCCCAAACTGAACCATGCTTATGTCCCTACATAACTCAGCCACAGGCATGCTTATGTCCCAGAATATTTAGGGGCAAGTTGCTCCTGACCGGGTGGTCCCTCTCAACACCCCGTCCTGTGAGTCCGGCTGTGCAGGCTGCAGTTCTGCCTCGGCCCACGTCTGCTGGGGCCGGCCGAGCGCACCACTTACTCACTAACTGACCGGTCTTCACCTCGTACTCTTCGGCCATCTCCTTCCCATCCTTGAACAGGTAGTGGATCTTCCGCTTCCCTAGAGGCAAGGCAGGGGGTGAG